TTTTAAATTTAAATTTAAAATATTATTTTTTATTTAAAAAAATTTAACGTGAGATTTTTTTATCGAGTATCTACCAACTTCGGACTGCATCAAATTCGGTCATCTCACTACGTCCTAATGGCCAAGTTAGTCATGTAAAGGTTCTAGAAGTCAATTAGTGCTTCATGACATCACTCAGCGGCCTCGTATTCTCCTTGACTACTCAAGGGCTACCGGTACCCACAAATATGTCACACTAACGTAGTTATTGCTTAGACCATGTCGGTATACCCCGCACAGTTTCCACAATGTATTGCTACTTACCTATAAGGTATCCAAAATCCAGGTAGAGGATTCAAGCCCAAACAAAGAACCAAAATGTAACGCATACAAGTCAAACAAAGAAAGCAAGTAAAGGTGATCTAGCCCTAAGGTAACCCCACTTTTAAGTTTTTCCCCAACAGAGTCGCCAGTTCTATGATACGGTGGGAAAACTGACTTGGGTGTTTTGCGTTTTATCGCAAATATTGCGGTTAGCAAGAGTCGCCACCGACTTTTTTTTATCCACAAGGAATGGCTGAAAAGAACAGAAAAGGCCTTTAGAGATGTTTTCTTGAGTTCGGGGGGTAGATTATGAAAAGGGAATGTATTAGCACCCTTTTCATCAGTAGTTATCTACGGGCTCTTAGTTATTTGCTAGATCACTTGCTTTTGTTTGAAAATGTACTTTGTGTGGTTTTTGAAAGTATTTTGAAAAGGCGCCATCGTTTAGGCAAACTTTGTAATAGTTCTCGTTCGTAAGAACGTATACAAAGTGTTGATCTTTTGAAAATGTTTCAAGTTTGAAAGATATTTTGAAAGTGTTGGTGTTCGTTTTGAAAATAGTAAGGATGTTTTGATTTGAAAATGAGCAAGCAACTAGGAACATTCTTCCTACTCAAAAGTCTTTCTTGTTTATTTCCACTTTCCTTTGACATTGTTATTTTACCATGGATTGGTAAGTAACCTTATCTTTGGATGTTAAAGGGAAGGGCAAGGGTCATCGTATAGTCATGAATAGCAATGTTGTAAGATATATTAGCATTTTCTTTGAGGGACTAAAATCATTTGTAAGGCAACTTCGGAGCGTCATCGAGGGACTATGATCTTGTATTTTTGTTTGTTTTTGCTAAGACATCTTACATGTGTATTATGACCATTTATTTCTAAAGGCAACAAGTAGGGTTAACCCTAGAGGTGCAAAGTGTGCAAGTGTATCTTTTTCATGCTTGATTTGTCTTGTATTAGGGTTTTCTAAGCATTGATTTTATCTTTCCATACAAACCCTAATTACTAGCATTTATATAAAGCGATAAATTGCGGAAAATAAAAATACTAAACTATCACATCATTAGGGGAGGGGTGTACAAATTTACAAATGGAGATTTTCAATAAAATTAAACATAATTATCTATTACAACCATATTGAATATTGTACAAAATTGAAAAGAAAATAATGCAAGAATGTAAATGAAAAAAAAAATGATTTTGTTTTGGTTTTTAAGGGTTTTAACCTAATGTCTAATAAGGAAAAATATTTAATTAAAGATAATAATATTAAACCTAAATTAGTTAAGAAAAGAAAGTTAGGTTAAAAAAAAGTATTTTTTAGGGTTTTTTATATGAAAGGTGTTAAGTTAATAAAAATGAAAATGAAAATTAATTAATTAAAAGAAATCTAAGTTCTAAATTTATTTTTATTTAAAAGAAAATAATATAATAAATAAACCTAAGTCTAAATATTTATTTAAAAAAAGAAATTTATTTGTTTAAGAAACTATTTTTTTGGTCTTTTTGCATTTATAGAGAAAATGAAATAAATAAGTGTAAATGATAAATAAAAATATTTTTATATTTTTTTTATTAAATAAAAATAATAACAATAATAATAATAATAATAATAATAATAATATAATAAAGACAAAAGAAATAAAATATAATAGGAAAAAAAGAAATAATAAAAGAAAATTGGTCAGAGGTGCAAAAGTAGTCAGGGGGTTAGAAAAAGCAACAAAAAAAAGTGGAAAGCCCAATGTGGAGGCCCAGGCGCTGCTTGCTGAAACAAAAAAGATGTGAAAATGTGAAAAATGAACAAAAGGTAGTGTGTTGGGTGTTGAACTCACGCCCTCTTGGTTACCAGCGCGCTGCTTTACCACTGGGGTGGCTATACATCTATTTATTTATATCAAATTATAAATATATATTAGAAACTGCTCCCTGAAGACAATTTCATCTTCAACCTCGCGCCTAGCCAGACCACCTGCATCTTGTTCATTTCTCATCCATTTACAAAAGTGTAAACATGAATCTTGTGGCAAATTTCCTCACGATTTCAGAAATGTAAAGCATTAAAACTATAGATCAAAGACAGACATGAATTTTATTGGCCCTAATCTGAAACCTAAAAATTTCAGAAACTTCAACTCCAAAATTCTCTAAGCTCAAGCCATATAAATGCAAACTATGGATATGTACAGCTTCGTGGCAATGAGGTCTACATTTTATCTTTGAAAATGGAAGCCTAACAATGCTTATATGAATATTTCAAAAGTCGGAAAACTCACCTTGCAAAAGGGTATCGTGTTTTGAGTTGGAGCAGCTTTCAATGAGTTCTAGTGATTGGGTTAGCTTCCTCAAGTTCCCAGGAAGCTAATGTGATGTTTGGCTTGAGCTGAAAGTGGCTGAGGAGTTCTGGAGAAGTCAAGGTGCAAGGTGCTGTTTTTGAAAATGGTGGATGGTGATGGAGGTGTTACAGTTGTGTTGCAGGTGTTGGAATTGTTTGTATATGTTATTTAGAAGCTTTTGAAAGTAAAAAGCCAAGAAACACACGAGAAAATTTAGAGATTGGATTCAAAATTCATAAATGGCAAGTTTTTAGATGTTTTTTGTGGTTATGTACTTTAGGGGTTTCAGGGCTTGAGCATGCGTGTGGCAGATTTCAAGTGACTTGTATACTTATAGGCAAGAGGTCTTGTATGTTACAACAAGCCAAAATTTGAAAAACCAAGTTATAGCATCTTTACTTGTTTTTGAAGCAAAGTTGAAACATCTTGTTCCAAGGCATGGTACATGGTTGCATAGAGTGGTTAGTACTTTAGAAATGCTTGCTTTTGGTTTATAGGGTTTGTGTGTGCAGAAAGAACAAGTTCAATGCTCAAGGAGAGTGGACTTTATGATTAAAGCCACTTTTCAAGAATAGCAATGGTGCCTTTCTTCAAAAAATGGAAATGCAACTTGGATAATGGTTCAAATGCTTGGAAAATGGCTCAATATGTTGTTTAAACATTTAATTAAGGAGTTAATTTCAAGTTAGAAGCCTGCAAAGTGAGATTATGCAGCATGGCTATGTGATTTGGTCCATTGTGCAACACAAATTCTGCCATCTAAAACAACTTGAAACCCTAACTTCTGGCCTTCGATTCTCCTTGATCAAAAATGATCTCAAGGAGTTCTTGGACATTTTGGAAATCTTGTAATATGCTATACAATCCCTCTTTGAATCACTTTTGCAAAATCCAAATGGAACTATGTGAAACTTATCCCAGAAGTTAGGTCAAAATCCTGACCAAAATGCTCAAAATTTCACCAAGTGTTTTAGTTTCATGAACATGATTTCATGGATTAATAACTTTAAATTCATTCATTTATAGGAGTATTTGTGTTCATAAATGTTTTAGATATCATTGAGATCTACAACTTTCATGTTGAAAGTTTCCTTTGAATCATCTTGCATCATGGTGAAAAATTAGCTCAAAGTTGTGAAAAAATATGAAGTTTTCAACACAGAAAAATTTCTAAGTTTGGAAACTCTGACTTTTCAAAATGGAATCTTGACTTTTTGATTTCTTGATGAACAATTTTCATATTTTGACATGTTTTGATGAATTGTGATCTTTGACACTTGATTTTGACCAAAAAAGTTAAAGTTTGACTTTTCAGTGTGCAGTTGACTTTTGATCAATTGACTGAAAATCAACTATCAATCAATTGATCTTGAGGGAAGTTTTGAGTCATACCATTAGGTCAAAATGATGCATTTGAAACCTTGTGATCATGTCTCAAACCAATTAACCATTTTCTAGGTCAAAAATCAGAAATTGCCTTTTCTCAGTCAAAACCCTAATTTTGACCATTATGCCCTTTTGATGATCTGATCAAATGTATTGAGGAATTATGGTCCAAACTTGATAAAATGACATATATGAGTTCATAATGTTGACATGGATCAAAAATTATGAAGTTTGACTGTAAATTGACCATAGTTGACTTTTTCCCTAATACAGTTGATTTTTAGGTCAACTGATCAATTGACTCAGCAAAAATGTGATCCAATACTTGAAACTTGATATGAGAAATATTTAGGGTCCATAATGATTCATGAAAGTCATATGAGGCATTAAAATTTCAATTATCCTTGTGCAATCTCAAACCCTATTTTCAGTCATCAGTACTTAAGGAGGTGTCTTGAGCTAATCAACCCTAGTGCAGTCTTGAACCAAAGGAGATCTTGTGAGAAATTACTTGATAAATGAGAGGGAAAATTTTGGGGTACAACAGTGTGTGAGGGTGCACCATTACATCACTTAATGTAATGGTTGTTATTGATTTGGGAAAAAATATATATTAAAGTCTCCTACGTGAGAGACTTATACGGTAGCCCAATCTCAAAACAAAACACATTAGTAATCTTTTCAGTTCAAAAATTTAAAAACTAATCTAATTTTTTTATAAGCAACTCTTGTATTAAGATAGGAGTATTAGGGGTACTCCAACCCAATTACAAGAAGGACAAAACCTGTTATTCAGATACATCAATTTTTACAGAGACAATGAATTGAATTTTTAAACCATTCATAAAAATTACACAAAATTCTGTCCTTTGAACCTATAGCTTGCCACCACCAAGAGAACCACATTGCTTTAAAGCATATTTCTTCAATATCACATATTGATCTATTAAATACAATAGCATTCCTTTTTTTTCATATGCACCAGCAAACCGTCAACCATATCACACCAGTCTTATTGCATGCAAGCTTGCCTTTCAACACTTCAACCACCTTCAAAAATTGTAAGCAACAATTTCCCTCAGTAGGAAGTTCCACATCCATCCACTTTTGAATCATCTGCCATATTGGCTTCACCTTTGGACAATGCAACAACAAATGATCTAAATCTTCCTCATGTTGCTCACAGAACACACATAAAACATCATGAGATTCCAACATAATCCTTTTAAGAAATTGTTTCCTTGTAGGAACCCTATCTTGCACAAGTCTCCAAACAAAAACCTTGATATTTGATAGAACCTAAGAGCCCCAAATAACATGTAATGCCTGTTTTAGACTATCATATATAGCTTCCTCATAATGCACCTGCATAAGATTTCCATAACATGAAGTAACAGAAGAAAAAAATTGTTTTTTCATAAGGCCAAATAACTTCATCTGCTTGATTCCTTCGTAACTAAATTCCTTGAAACACTTCTTGTAATTCAACTAACTCCTTAGTAGCTTATAACCCAACACTTCTTCATTGTGAATAAGGTTCCAATTCAAAACTTCACCATTTCGAATCCCTCATTTTGCTTACACAATCCTTTTTGTTAGAAGTTTCCTGATAAATTACCGGAAATTGATCAGCCAAAACTCCTTGCCATAACCAACTTGTTTTCCATAAAGAAGTTGAATTACCATCCCCCACCATAATAGTGATCTTCTTTGTGATTCCTCTAAGTTCATCACATAACTTCGAAATGTCCCTCCACCATGTAGATTCTTTTGATTTTGGACATTCCCCTTCATTTACCCACAACATATTGCTTAGTATTTCGTGCCTTTCTTGCAAGATTCCTTCCCATATAATACCTCATCTTTAAAGAACCTCGAAATCCACTTAGAAAGTATAGAAGAATTAAATTTGCATACATTTTTATCCCTCAATCCACCATCTTGCCTAGACTTGCAAATTGACTCCCAACTTATCCAAGCAATGCCCCTCTTATCTACCAAACCCTGCCACATAAGCTTCCTTTGAATAAATTTAATCTCATGTGCTATCTTGACAAGAATTTTATAAAAATAAAGCTGGTAAATAGGTAAGTTTGACAGCACATCACTCAACAGTGTAACTCTTCCTCCCATTGACAATAATCTTCCCTCCCACAAAAAAAAGTCTTATTTTCAAAGATTTGATCGTCGGCTTCCAAAACCTCAAGTTCCTCTGGTTTCCCCCAACTGTTAAACTCGGAAATTTGAATGGGATATTGTCCACATTACACGCCAAAAATTGAGAAATTGTGTACATAAATTCAGGAGCAATATATATCCCATATACTTTACTTTTACTCATATTAATTCTCAATCCGTTGGCCATCTTAAACCCCCTAAGCATAGATTTGATTGTCCATAAGTTTTCCCAGGTCCCCTCACCAATCAATATCATATCATCTACAAACTATAATAAGCTATATTCCACATTATTCTTTATCTTAAAACCAGAAAACAGTCCCCCATTGATAACTTTCCTAACAATTCCTGCCAACCCTTTTGCTTCTATATTGAACAAGAAATGAGACAAGGGATCTCCTTGTCTCAACCCTCTCTTGACTTGAAATTCATCTGTTGTACTTCCATTCACCAAGATTGACATATAGCTATTAAAAACTCCAGCTTCCATTCACCTCATCTATATGTCTCCAAATCCCATTCTCTTTAGCATGTATTTGAAATAATTCCAATCAACACAATCATACGCCTGAGAAAAATCCACCTTACATAACAGACATTTCCTCTTATTTCTACTTGCAAAATCTATTATTTCATTGTTAACCAATACACCATCTAAAAATTTTCATTCTTGGAATAAAATTTGTCTGGTTACTTGAGACCAACCTCCTTATTACTCTCCTTAATCTAGCTACAAGTTTCTTGGCAATAATCTTGAGAAGACCACTAATCAAACAAGTTGGCCTATACTCATCAAGACTTTGGGGGTTCTCACACTTGGGTACCAGGGAAAGAAAAGTAGAAGTCACTGCTTTAGGTAGCCTACCATTTTTATGGAACTCTTTTATGAATCCAATGACCTCCACACCAATAGTATCCCAACATTTTTTCATGAATTCCAAATTAAATTTGGTTGGCCATGGCCTTTTATCCCCATCACCTTCAAACACAACTTCCTTTATTGCCTCTTCTGAAAACTCTTCCTCTAAACTCCCACATTATTGGTTAGTTAGGCTCTTGAAAATAATATTTTTCACTTTAGGACTTGGTAACCCAGCACTCTGGAACCTTTCATCAAAATGTTTCCTTATTATTTCCTTCACATCTCCAACTTCCTCAACTATACCCCTATCATATTGAATTGGGACAATTGTGTTTCTTTAAGTTCTCATTTTCAACATGGTATGAAAAAAATTTGTGTTCATATTTTCCTCCTTCACCCATCTATGTATTAATTTCTTCTTTAAGATACTCTCTTTATAGTGCAGATTTTTCCAAATTAAATCTTGAGCCTTACTTCTTTCCAACTTAATCTCCTCAGTTACTTGGATATCTGCCACCTGTATATACTCCTCTAACTGATTAAGATCCTCCACACCCTCCGGAATCTTCAACTCTAACCACCCAAGAACATTTTTATTCCACCGTCTTAAGTTTTCCCTTAATAACTTGAACTTTTCTTATATCACATAGGCTTTTATTCCTTTTACTGCAAAGGAGTTCCATTCCCTCTTTACAAAACCCTAGAATTTCTTGTGTTCGTACCAATAGTTATTCACTTTAAATCCTTTAGGACCCCAATCCAATGTGCTTGATTTTAACCACACATGTTTATGATATGATATGTCCCTATTTCCCACCTCCTGCACCACCACACACCATTTGATAATCAACCTTTCATACAACAGAAAACAATCAAGCCTACTGCAAGCCTTACCATCAGGTTTTATCTGAGTAAAATACTTCCCGCAACTGGAACATCCATCAGTTACATGAGTTCTATAAAACTCCTAAATTGCTCCATCTCTAGGTTTTTACTACTACTTAATATCTCCTTCCTCTCTTCTCTATTTTTTATAGAATTAAAATCTCATCCCACAACCCATTCACCTTTTTCTAATTTGTTCTTTCATCCTAGAAATTCCATCCAGAGTACTCTTTTTTATTTAGGTTACCTGGTGAGTAAATATTGATGAAGCAATAAATCACTACCTTCCTGTATCGTTGTTAAGCCTAGAAATCCTTTTCCATTAAAGTTGGATTCTGGTGTGATAGTATTCCTCTTCCATATTGTTAAAGTTTCACCTGACTCTCCCTCTGAATCCTTTGTCGACCATTCACAATCTCTTGACCCCCACATGTTTGCAACCATATAATCCTCCATCATTATCGCCTTTGTTTCTTGTATGAACATCACATCCGCCTTTCCCTTTTGTATAATTTGAATAATTCTTATTTTTTTGACAAAATTGCCACTCCTTCTGATGTTGAACGTCCCAATATTCATGGGTCTATAGTAATGTTCTCCTTCGAAGCTTCACTATTTTTACCCTCACTATGTTTCATTTTATGAATAATGCTTTCAAAAACTTCATCATATTCATCCCCTTCTAATCCCATATCCTTTATCAATTTCCACACTTTTGTTGGGACACTTTCAATAGACTTCCAGATTCTGTTCACTACTACAGAAAAGGAATTTAACAACGGTTGAGAAATATATATAACCACACGGGACCAGACGTTATTATGCAGCGTGTGGTTGTATATGTGGTACTTACAATCACGATCCAGTGACCGTCGTAGTAATCTAGAAAGAGCGTGCCTTATAACAACGGTTATTCATACTAACCATTGTGATATAGTATATGAAAAAATGTCAAATTTTCATACCAGAATCAGCACTAAACCAATTTTTAATTAATATCAAAACTTATATTACAAATACACAATTCCATTAGGTAAATAATAAAATATGAACAGCTCGAGGTATGGAATCTTTCCAACTTCCAAGAGAAAAGAAAGCGTATAGAATTAAAGAAATAATGATGAGAAGCTTTGCTTTTTAAACTTCCAATATAAGAAGATGAAGAATCATAAGGAACAACATAAAAGCGGAAGAACCAAGACTCAAAAACAACTTCATCCAAAGGAATCAACATGTGTTATCCTGCTCAAGCCACCAACAATGCTGAGAATCCAAATGTTGTTGTAGAGGGTATTGTGGTGCCAAACCAGCCTCAGAATCAAGATGTTTCTATATAGGCCGATGTTGTGGTGCAAAACCATCCTCATATTCAAGATGTTGTTGTAGAGGGTGTTGTGTTTAGCCTAATAAGAGCTCCCAGGGTGAGGAGAAGAAGAAGAAGAAGAAGAAGAAGAAGAAGAAGAATGTTGAGAAGGTAAATGATGATTTTTTTCGATTCTGATGATGATGATGAGGCTCACTATGATTGGTCTAACTTTATCTCGAGAGGATTTAGACTTGATTATGGTTTTTGATCAAGTAATGAAAGTCTTATGTAATGAAGTTTTAATATGCTTAACTCTCTTAGGATTATCAATTTAAACATTCAACTTAACCTATCAGATTAAACTTCAAAATATATAAAACACATTATTGTAACTGAAAATTATTGCGATGAACTTACTCGTAAGAAAATGTCCGTTAATTGAAGATTCCTGTCAAGTCCACTGCATCTTCAACTATTACATTTCATAACAAAGTAAATAAAATATTAAACATAAAGGATATAAGATAACATAAAATTTTCAAATTTCAAACCCTAATTCAACTATTAAATTTTATAACAAATATCCAATAGATTCCCAACAGATTCCAACTCTGGCATCATAGTACTCTCATCTTCCAATTTTTGTTCATCATCCCATATGAACAAATTACATGTTTCACCACTACACCAATTTGGAAATCTCCAAAAAAACTTCCTTTATTTTTACCCCTCTTTCATAGGAACGAAACCATACGACTATCACAAGCATATGAATTTCCTGATCAAGATTTTATACCCTTGGAATGAGACATTGAGACGAGACTGGACAACAACAACAATGAGTGTGGTGTTATGGTTGTTTTCTTCTTCCCGATGGCGTTGGTGTTAGGGTTTGTTTCTTTTATCAGTGGAAGAATGGGTACTTAGTGTTTAATATATACAAAGAATCAACAGTGTGTAACAACGGTTGTAGAAAAGAGCCATAGTGATATACCTATTATTTTTTATTATATATAAATGTAATCTCTCCTTCTTCATTTTCTTCTAACAAACATAAGTTATCCCCTAGCGGAGTTAATTTAATTCTAAAATAGCCTTTTGAGTGAAAATCTTCTTGAATGTTGTAAGTCATCTCTACAATTTCCACCACTCTCACGTAAGCCTTCTTGAACCTTGCCAACTCTGAGTCCTCAACATTGAACCGCAGATAAGAAAATTTCGATTTTTGGTCTCTTTCTCCCCAGCCTGGTGGTTTTATCCACTTATTTACATCACCTAAGTTGGTAGTAACTTCTTTTGGCATCACACTCCTTATATCCTCTTTCGCAGTTACCGCATGTGCATATGATCTTCTCCCTTTGAACTCTCTAGGTTGATAGTTGCTTACATTTCTCCTATTGTGAGTCTGTTGATCCTTACTTCCCATTCTAACCTCTCCAATTCTCCTTAGTTGTTCCATCTGCCTCCCTCTTTGAAACCTATAGGTATGTTCGCGTATATCTTCTTACCATTGATGAAGATATTGTCCAACTTAGTAGTTGTTAGGTTTTAATTTGTTGGCTGCATTTTGTTAAAACAACTAGTTCAACAAGATGTTGTGATATGTTGGTACGATATTGCAACATGTATTGTTTCTTTGTTTAGAAGATTTGTTTCTTGTGCTTCAGAAGATTTGTTTGATGTTTCGTGTGGACCAAGCTGCGCATATGGAGATTTGATTCACTAAAGATTTGTTTCAAGTTAGAGATATCTGAAGATTTAGTTCTCAAGATTGGATGTCAAAACATTAATTGGAACATTATTTTCCAGTTACCGCATGTGCATATGATCTTTTCCATTTGAACTATCTAGGTTGATAGTTTCTTACATTTCTCCTACTGTGAGTCTGGTGATCCTTACTTCCTCTTTCACAGTTACCGCGTGTGCATATGATTTTCTCCCTTTTAACTTTATAGGTTGATAGTTGCTTACATTTCTCCTACCGTGAATCTGCTGATCCTTACTTCCCGTTGTAACCTCTCCAGTTCTCCTTAGTTGTTCCATCTTCCCCCTCTTTGAAACCTATAGGTATGTTCGCATATATCTTCCTACCATTGATGAAGATATTGTCCAACTTAGTAGTTGTTAGGTTTTAGTTTGTTGGCTGAATTTTGTTAAAATAACTAGTTCAACAAGATGTTGGATAAGATGTTGTGACATGTTGGTACGACATCGCAACATGTATTGTTTCTTTGTTTAGGAGATTTGTTTCTTGTGCTTCAAAAGATTTGTTTGATATTTCGTGTGGACCAAGTTGCGCATATGGAGATTTGATTCACTGAAGATTTGTTTCAAGTCAAAGATATCTGAAGATTTAGTTCTCAAGATTGGATGTCAAAACATTAATGGGAATATTATTTTTTGCACCAGAAGATTTGATTTGATATGATTTGATTTGCAGATTATTTGATTTAGGCAGATTTAATATCCAAGCCCAGGCGCTTCTATGGCTATAAAAGAAAGATTTCAAACCTAAAGGAATCATGAAGTTGTATGTTAAAGAATATACTTTAGGGTTTCGTTTGTTCATTATTTTTGTGAATCATTGGTGCATCATGTTGATGCTTGAATTGGACTGAGTTTGAGTTATAATTTGTGAATCACTCATAAGTTTTTAAGCAAGAGTGGTTTCTATTTAATTAAAAGTGTATCTTCTGTTTATTATCATTGTTGTTATTATCACTGTTGTGTGATTAAGGGAAAGGGAGAGAGGTCTCATATCTAAGAGTTCTTAGATATAAATAGCACGGATAGTGATTAGGTGAGAAGTTTGTAAAACCAGAAATTGTTAAGAGCTTCAAACTAATATTATTATTGTGGATTTTCTTCCTGGCTTGGTTACCCCCATATGTAGGTGACGTTGCACCAAACTGGATTAACAATTAAACTCTATGATTTACTCTCTATAACTGTCTTTAAAGTGTTAATTGTTCTTCTGTTGTTATGATATCTTAACATTACATTCGATATCTTTATTATTGTGCCAAAATTTCAATAGTTAATACTTTTTCGTTCGATATCTCTTATTCCTCTTTGGAGGGATCACCACCTCCACCACCAATCCATATTATTTAAATACTTCAAACATTTCCTTTGCACCAATCTTACGGAATTTTTGTAAAAAAGAAGTTTGAAATATGTTCGCCTTCTTGTACTTACTTCCCCCATCTTGCTTCCCAGAATGAGCCTTGTTTACCATTTCTACGGTTGTCGTTGTACCTTACTTCCATCCATCCATCATTCGCCCTCATATCGTTACCGAGGATTACCCACTTATTCAGTTTTTTGTAAGTCTCAGAGTGCCTAAGAGGAGGGGGGTGAATTAGGTCTTATAAAATTTATTCGGTTTTATGAGAATGCTTGGTAGTAATTTTTGGTTAAGTGTTTGAAGGTTTTGATTATATCTTTATCTTTTGCTGATTATGGTGATGAAATCGATAAATGCGGAAAAGTAAAGAATACGGTGATATATCCTGGTTCCCCTCACAATCTGAGAGTACTCCAGTCCCCTTTCCAACATGAAAGAGATTTCACTATAGTTAGAATGATTGTACAGCCTATGCTTACTATCTAACCTATAGGGTGATCAAAGGTTCTTAACACCTTTAAGACCAAACAAACACTAATGTGAATGAAGAACAATCCTCTTCAAATCACAACACTTACTTCCAACAATCCTGGATAGTAAGGAAAAATCTTTAAGTAATACAATGATTTAGTTTGAAGTATATGGAGAGCTTTATCAATCTTCAATTGATCTTCTTCTTCAAGATAAAAACAATTCTCAACAACGTATATAAATGTTCACAATGTATGTATGAAACTTGTAATGATAATGAAAGTGTATATGACAAGTTTCACAAAATTATGAACACATGAAAGTGTAATTTCAAATGTGAGTAAAATGAGAAAATTGTTAATGAAGAAGTATATTTGTTAATTTGAAAATTGAAGTATTGAACATTGTTTGAAAATAAGAAAATCTACATTTTATAAAGTTACAAGAACCTCTTCATTCATGCCAATTCATATGAAAAGTTGCAATGCATTCATGAAAAGATACCACTTGAAAAATGTTCAAAAAACAAAGTAAAAGTTGTATTGGTTCGCTAGG